GAGGCGGCGCAGCTCTTCGCCCGCGGCATGGAGTCCCTGAAGGCCATGCTGCCGCTCTACGACACGGGCTCCGGCAGCATCTACGACCTGCGGCACTTCGTGCTGGGCTCCGCCCCCAACCTGGCGCGCTGGGACTACCACACCACGCACATCAACCAGCTGCAGCTGCTGGCCTCCATCGACGGCGCGCCCGTCTTCAGGGACGCCGTCAAGCGCTGGAAGAACTACCTGAAGGGGATCCGGGCCAAGCACAACTAGCCGGGAGGGCCAGGTTGGAGGTTTAACGCCCGCCTAGAGACCAGGATCCAGGGCATCCTGAGCCGAGGAGGGGATTCCGGCGCCGGATTTCCGGCTTTCCAGGCCCCAATGTCCCGGTTTTCCGGCTTTTTCGGTGGGACGCTTCTCCGGTGGGACGTTCACAACCTGAGGGACGAGTCCGGTGGGCTGCAGCTCTCGACACTAAACTTTTCCAGATCCTTTTCTGCAACGGCTGTAGCTCTTCTTCTTCTACTTCTTTTTCTTTCGTTTTTCTTCGTTACCACGGAGACGGCGTTTGTAATCACACACAGGTCTAGTTTTCGTTCAGGAAGAACGAGCGTGTTTCCTTTTACGTAGAAAAGACAAAAACACGATGCTGGAGAGAGGGGGGGAACTCCCCGAACACGGTTCTGCTGTTCTTTAATTCTTTCATCTCACTTTTCTTCTACGTTTCCGCTCCATTTCATCTCAGAGTTGCAAAGTTTATAAAAAAACAAACTGTGAATGGAAAGAATGTTGCCAAAAAATGTCAGTGGAATCAAAGTAGGATGTATATGATTTTTGTTTCTCCACAAGCTTGGGGAGTCACATGCTTATTTTCTCAGTTTGAACCCCTTAAATAACAGTGATGACTAATAATTACTGTAGGGAGATTATGTTATTAATTAAAGGAGCTTACCCCGTTTTTTTTTTTCTCCTTTTAATTTATAAATGAAGGCGTGGATTAGATGTGTATTAAACCGAAAGCAGCTCGGAGGAATAAAACGCTCGGACTGGAGCCTTCCCGTGGCAAACGCAGAGATAAACCCATCAGACGTTAAACCCTAATTAACCATTCATCCTCGTTATTTGTGGGTGTTGACGCTAATGAGACGCCGGTATCGGCCCGTCACACTTTGCCACAAACACCAACCTGTGGGAAAACTAAGTCGGTTTAAGTCGGAGACGACGAAGAAAAAACTCTCTCTGGATTAATGGTTCCTCTTCCATGACTCAGGAAGGCCGAGAAACGCTCGCTCATCTCCTGACGCACGGTGGAAATGCACCGTTTGGGCTTCTGTTAAATCTTCCTAATGGACCCTCTTAAGTGATCGAAAACCCCCAAACCACCTCCTGATTCATCAGAATCGGGCCGAAATCGTTCTTCTTCTCCTTCCAGCCAGTAGTCGTCGTCCACTCTTCCTCCAGCCCTTCCTCTCTTCCTCCTTCTGTGGGGGGCTTTTCTGAACCGCCCCCCCCCCCTCTGCAATCAGGCCTGGAAACCATAATTACCGGATACTGGTGTAGGTGGTTAGCTTAGCTAGCCTGTCACTCCCTCAGTATTGGAGCAAACCATGCCAGAGGCTG